TGTAACCAGCTGTAAGCGCCAAACGAAACGCAGCCTTAGGGCGAACACACATCTTGACAGAAAAGCAGAAACCAATTAGAACTCGCGCTGGTAGTGGACAGTATCTGCTCTGCTTTTCTTGCTTCCAGCGCGAGTTCGATTAGCTTTTGCTCTTCTGTTTTCTACTTTTCTGTCAAAATGTGAATTTTCTCTTAAGTTGTTATGTATTTCATGTGTATTTCCCGATTTTAGGCCCAGAAAACACGAAATGTATAACAAAGTATGAGCATAGTATAAGGCGGCTAGACCAATGAGCAGTTAGCATAAAGTCACCATATTGATTTACAATAGATTCTCTCGTTCTACAATAGATAAAGCGAAGAATATGTAAGTACTAAAAGTGCAAGCAACGTGAACAGACCTAATCCTACATTGGATCCATGTGTAGAAATCATAATAAAGAATTATTGAGCGCTCACTCAGATGTTTCGATTCCTGAACACAGCCACTGATTTCATATGAGATTTTTACTATTCGGAAGTTGAACTTGGAATAAGAATTTCTTTACATTGTCTTTAATAAGCAAATGTAACGAAAATTTTGCATTGCGTTGTGGAAATCAGATACAAGCATACACAATGCAGTGGTAAATATTAAGGTTTCGTTGCGAGAAAAAACAAAGGGCCTTTGCCTCTTTGATAAATTGAAGCATTAACTTTGTTACGTGGGTGTGTGTGTGCGCGCAGGCGTGCGTGTGTGTAATACGTCGTTTCTATTTATAAAGAAAGCACAAAAAAAATATTTTCAACTCAAGAAAATGGAAGCGGAACCATTAGAGCTAGAAGATGGTGAAATCATCGACGATGAGGTTAGATATTTACAAATTTTTGTTTAATAATCAATGTAACCTATACAAATATAACCTCATACATGGAGGCGTCATATAACCTCGAGGAGAGGTTAAAAACGCAAACCCATCATCCGATGGAACAACATTACAAGAACTCCTAACCTCATACAAATCGAATAAATCAATGTTATTTTCCAATTTATTGATTTGAAACTTATATAATTTTCTACCTTAATGTAATTATTTTTATCATGTAGGCTTGATACATATATTGCAATGCAGAATGTATTACGATTATATAAAATAAGGCAGAAGAAAACAAAGTACAAAGTGTTGATGAAGTAATATTAATTTTTATTCCTTCAAATGCCTAGACAAACTTGTAACATTTACTAAAGCATATTAATTAGATATCTAAAAAATATTGTATCTTTCTTTGATACAAATTGTGCTTTGTTATTTACATAATGTTTTAGACTCATGGATTATTATCATCGTTATTACATAAATTTATTTTGGTATTAACGAATAATCGTTATATTTTTTTCAGCTCAGCGATGTCTTTGGAACCTATAAAATTTTGCAAAGACCTCATGTAAAGCAGACACCTGTCGTAGACTTATCTACAAAAATGCGATACAGCGATGAATCTGACGACTCTGCAGATTCTGAAAGTGATTCTGATTCAGATTCCACACAGGCTAATGTCAAAAAACCGAAACTTAAATTGAAAAAGAATAAGCATTTGTGGAAAGATTTGACAACCAAGAACAAAAAATACAAAGTATGGTGCACACAAATGCAGGAGGAATCTTTGACCGAAGATTTAACGTCATGCGGCGTCACCAAAAAGTTGTATCAAGAACGTAGTGTTGAAAGTTATAATTTTACTCTACGGTATGCAGGGAATGGCAGGGAACCTCGTAATAACAATAGTTCTGATGAAGAAAAAGACAACGAACACAGATTGTCCAATAAAAGAACCAATTCAGACAGACGTGATGTAAAATTTAGATTAGGAAAAAGGAGAAATTCCATGGATTTGGATGGTCAGAAAGGTTCGGTTAGAATAATAGCAGATTTATCTACAACTGTAGATTCAACAGATGCTGATGTTGCTACTGATATAACCAATAAACTCAGTGAAAGAAAAGAACTTCTCATAAGTAAGTAGATATATCTATTTATCTTTAAATATATATATATATATATATATATATATGTATATATATATATATATATATATGTATATATTACATATGTATGTATGTATAACTTTAAGAAAATGTCCAATATATTCATTACTAGTTTTTAAGTTATAAATAAATAAAAATAATTTTATTTCAAATTGAGTCACATAAGTATCGATATAGTTAATACAATAATAAATTTTATTAAAATTAAGAAGATTCTCGTTTCGATTTGATTGTATGACAATAACATGTATAACAGTTATTTAATTACAAATTGTATGTTATTAAAAAGAATTGTCAACTTTTTTTGTTTTATGCATATAATACATGCTGTTTATTTACATTTAAATAAATATCTATTGCATTTATAACGTGTTTTGTGTTTTATGTAGGACGAGTGGTGGACACAATTGGTAAACAGAAAGCCATTGATTTTTTCCAAAAAACGAAGAAGATTGAAGAAGATGGAGGAATGTTAATAATGAATGGATCTCGTAGAAGGACTGCCGGCGGAGTATATTTTTGGTTGGTAAAAAATGACAAACATATTCCTCAGGAAAAAATAAGGGAGATATTTTATTACGACCAAAAAGAGAGCAGCGAACAAAGAAAGAAAACTAGCAATTCAGGACGACAGAAGAGGGAGCAGGAATTAATGAGAAGTTTCGAAGGTAAATTATAATATCCATCATAAATCAAATATAAACGAAATGCAATATAGCACCTATATAATTTGTGCTACGTTGCATTTCTTTTATAAATTCCTTTATTTTCTTAATAATATATAATATATAATTTGTTTCGAAATCGTAGATGGATCTGAAAAAGATTTACCAGCTTTATTAACAAGAGCAGAACTCTCGACGAGACAAATTGCAGAGGAAGCAAGATTACGACGTGGCGAAGGCATGGACAGAATGCCAGTAGATTCTGATCGTACGGTATCAAACCCACCACCCAGTCCTGTAACGGATGATCCAGATCATTCCGAACATCCACTGGTACAGAGACAAGTTCAAGATTATACCGATGATTTTCTCGATATTGGAGTAGACGTAGATAGTATGGAAGTACTCTAAGATTATGTTCTTAATCTTACATTTGCACGTAATCTAATAATGACTTGTATAAATAAATGTATCAATCGCACGAAGAATACATACATGTATAATTTGTATAGGTTGTATGCTTATCACATGTTCATAAGTGACAAATAGACTGAAAACAGTGACTAAAAATATATTTGATTTCTATCAAGCAAAAAAAAAAGTTATACATTTGGCCGTATTTCGCTTATTTTACCAAATGTTTCTTGAGAACCTTTTATAAATTTTTTCCATATTTCACTTATTTTATCCATCGATGAGAACTGTTAAAGATTCCGTCAGTTATCCTGGGCAAATTTTCGTGCCGGCCAAAGCGCCCTAGTGGAGAGCTAAGCGGAGGTAATTGCTGACTGTCGATGTTATCGACTTTGATATAAATTTGCGATTAATAATTTTGAATAATACGTATTACTAAAATTATGATTTTTATTATATAAATGCATTATAAATAAGAATGAATACTTAAAATGTTATAACATCGTATATATCTATATATATGTATATATATTGTCATACATTAAGTTACATTTTTTTTTTCAACTGTTTTACCTCCTCTCTGGATAATCAAACACGGATGATAACTATAAAAATGCAGTTTTAAATAAAATTATATATATATTAATATATATTATTATAGCAAGCACCGACGAGATACTGTTAACGACTGTTAGCAAATTTTCGTGTAAGTTAAAACGGGATCTCACAACTCTTTGGTAAAAATTTTAAATTTGTAAAATAAAATAATATAAAAAATATTTTTGGTCCAGGAAAGATTAAAGTTCTCGCAGCCACTTCAGCACAATTAAATGGGACTTGCGTAGAAACAATCTCTTGTTTACTCTCTAATTGCGCAAATTCCGTCATTAATTAATAAAATTGTTAAACTTATAAAGCTTATATAATGTTTCGAGCCACGTTCCGAAGCTCTTTATTAATAAAATTGTTAAACTATATATATAGGTTAAGGCCGGGTCAGTGGAAAAAATATTGTTGGTTATCATTTTTAATGGATAGATTACGACCCCCTCTACCACCTACCGCAAGCCCTTTGGCTTTCCGCGTTTTAGTTTGCTCTAGGGAGTTTTTTGAAAAT